GAATAAATGCACTTTGTCTATAAGATCACATTCTTTTAGTAGATGTTTATCATCAGTGGAGATTTGGTTCTCAGTGCTGCCAGTCTGCTGCAGCCTCTTCTCTACATATTGTCACTTGTCAGGATGCACTTCCTGATGGTAACAGTGAACTGTGCCTGTGCAATGTGCACTGCAGCCGATCATAGTCTCTATTGGGAGAACATGGGACAACACAGGAGCACAATTGGGAACAGGAAGTGACCTAACAAAGATCTTCATGGCAGAATCACCGATGGCTGAAGATTTAAATAAAACAGACACAAAAACAAAAACCCTTTCATATCATATCATAAAGTCCCAGCACATCCTCTCTGGTTATAACATCAGCATTGTAATAGGAATACATACTAGAGGGGTTTGTTATAATGCAATCAAAGCTTACATGAAAGAATCCCTTTTATATAGTGAGTGATGCCTTCCGTCTGTCCATCACTTCCATCAACTTCCTGGATTCCCAGTGTGCTTTCCATATCTTCCACTGCTCCATCTCAGTGGGGTAGGACTTGTGGAAATTCAATCGAAATACAGATTTGACCACAGACACCCTAGAACACGTTAAACCACTAGTGATTGGGTTAACATTGTATATGTTCAGTTCATCTGTACGGGAAAAGTTCCTGCCAAACCCCCACCAATCTCCATGGACCGAAAATGAACTCTATGACAGCCATGTTTATTTTTATTAGGGATGCACCGATACCACTTTAAGACCGAGTAACGATACTTTAGATCAAGTACTCGCAGAAACCAATTACCGATACTTTTTCTTAAAGGGACATGTCACATTTTTTATGAAGCAATACAAACGAATGCTTTAAGGTCACTTTCTTAATATTATGATTCATGAGTTGACGAGGGAGCATGACGCCGGCTTCCCAGCCAATCAGAATGCTGGGCGCTGCGTCATTACACGGCGCCTGGCTTCCGGATTTGCGCTGCCCGGCTTCCTGATACAGGAAGTACTCGTACTCGCCCAAATGCTCCGATAGCTAGCACGAGTACTCAAATACAGATCAAGTTGAACCCTTTGCATGGAAGGAGAGACTTGGTGAGGAGGCCGGGAATGAACGTAGAGCAATAAAGTGTAAGAAGGAGTTCAGAACATATAAAAAGGACAACCATTATGGGGTACTCAGTGGTGGGTATAGGTAGAGGTCACACAATGCCCACCACCATGACAGGATACGAGATATTTATCAGTACGGGGACCACCATGCATAGACTGATACCTACGATCGTATTGCTTCAGATGACTGGGGGGTCACAGGAAGTGTTGGACATCCAATATTGACATCTCCTAGGATGGTAAACCTGGGCAACCTGGACTGGCATGTCAGTGAAGCTTTCATAGCGTGTACCCAGCTATAGATGTAAAAAGCAGGGGTAGGCAAACTCCGTCCCTCAAGCTGTGGCGGAACTACAATTCCCATGAGGCATTGCAAAACTGACAGCCACGACACCCAGAGGCATGATGGGATTTTTGTAGATTTACCACAACTGGGGTCGGAGTTTGCCCACCCCTGCTGTACAGGGTCCAAGCTGTGAATCCCACCCACATTGAAAGATGGCTACCAGGATGAAAGCTAAACTGAACTGTGTCTATGCAAGGCAAAGGAACAGGTTCACGTTTTTCACCTTCCCAGGGGAGCGCGTCACGTTACGCCGTACAAACAGTACTGGGTATTTACCCACGTCCGGGTGAGCAGAGAAGGAAAGGGGTTATGTCCAGCCAGGGATGAGAGGAATAAACCAAAAGCTGTAATTCCCTTATTGCCAACCTCTGCCACCACTGGGAGAGAGGAGGGGAAGTCCAAAGCACTCCAGTACGGGGAAGTCCGGTTCACAACACAGATCTGTTTGGCTGTTCTGGGTAACCAGGGAAACCGCCATCCTGTCATAAAATACCAGACATGAAAACCTCTACGGAATACGACATGGCCACTACACCAGTTCTGTCACATGGTTTTATGCAGAAGATATTCGTTAGATCCATGCATAGATGGAAACGTTTCAGGAATATCAAAATAGGATTTTTGAATGAAGGTGGAATAATGGGGAGCGAAAGGGGGACTTCCCGCTCAAACACAGGTGACTTCCTGTTTAGTGAGCCACAGAACACGCCTCATTTCCTGTTCAGTGATCCCCAGAACACACCCCATTTCCTGTTCAGTGATCCCCCAGAACACACCCCATTTCCTGTTCAGTGATCCCCAGAACACACCTCATTTCCTGTTCAGTGATCCCCCAGAACACACCCCATTTCCTGTTCAGTGATCATCAGAACACACCTCATTTCACAACTACAAACAGCGTGTTCCTTCCTTTTGCCCAACATGGCAACTTACAAAATTATCCCAATTTCTGTACAGGTGTGGGGACTTAGAATTGTGAATCTAATTGCTGGTTCTTTTACATCACAAGAGTACTGTGGTCCTTTAGAGTGATCCTGTCAGGTCTCTAATAGCAGTATTGTATTATACTCCCGTCTGGCAACCCAGGTCTCTCCCTCGCCCCCCTTTCCAGCGCTGCAAAGTCTGCAAGACAAAGATAGGCGACTCCAGCTGTGGCGAGACTACAAAACTAGCATGCCTCTGGTTATGGGAGTCATGCTTGTCACCATCTTGCAATGCCTCATGGCACATGTAGTTTCACAAAAGTTTGAGTGTGGCTTGCCTATCCCTGCTGTGCCCTCCACTGCACTATATGGTTCCATCTCCTGACCCCAATGCCAATGCTGTGTCCTGTAGTGACGTAGAAGTCAAGAGGATGGAACCATAACATGCGGTGGTAGACACACACCCAACACTCCCAAAAATGAATGTCAAAGAGATTGATGGAGACTGGGAGGGTTACAGAGTAGATGGGCTACCAGAGAGAGAAAGGATAATTCTTCAATTACAGGAATTGTGATTGCCATTGGGATTTTTGTTTAAAGAGCTGACAGGTTTGCTTTAAAGAAGGAAGATGCGGATATAACTTAAAAGACTAGTTGTCTGGCCGTGTCTGGCTTCAATAATTCCCAATGCCCAGAGCACGTATGCTGCAAGCGAAGACCATGACAAAGTATTGGCAGCAGGAGAGCCAGGCAGCCAGCATTTCAGGATGAGAGATCAGCAATGGCCCCCGGCACACTTCTCTCAGCTTCCTTTTACAGAAAGTCAAGTTGCAGGTTCCATTTACTGCCCCACATTCAGCTCTAACACCCGATTGTTGAACCCCGTCCTTTATCCGTGTCTAGAATTAAGAGAAGACAAGTTGCAAGCTGGATATGCAACAACATTTTTAATACAGGCAGGCAGTTATGTAGCAAGTATTTACTTTGATATCACCAAATTAAAAGAAGGAACGTGTCTAAATGGAAAACACAAATGATTCAAAACCAAATTGGAAACAAATTTTCTTCTTCTTCTGTAAAGACGCTGTAGCCTACAAAGATTATAGAAGTACTAAAGCCCAAGAATACTCGCTTGCTGCAGTCAACCAGGTCTTAGGAAGCTGACCTTACATGCAATGAGACGGTCACATGATGCAAATGATAAGGGGACAATGTCAGGAGAGGAGCGACTGAATGGCGGTGAAAACTGCGTCCTAACGTCTATGGAAAACCTAACTCTATTGATCAGGAGGTTCGGCATTATTCCTTACTGTATACAGGTATAGAAAGCCGTTTCCATTTTGAGAGTCTGTTCTATTGGACGAGACAATCTTCATTAGGGAACAGTCTGGAAAACCAGACCAGGGACACAATTTCAGGAGAATGGTCGATCTTTTGGTCGTCTAAAGTCAGATTTCTGTGTGACAGCAAGGAGGTGTGTTGTAGGTTCAGGCTCCTCCAGGTACAATTTTCATGCAACCACATGGCCAGATTCCAGTAGGAGCATGTGTACAATTTGTTTGACCATCATTCTTAGAGAAGCACCATAACAGGTCCCATATTTAGCCACATCGCCCACCTTCTTTTCACATTTGGCCATTTTCCTCTAGGCCAAGGGTAGCCAAACACCGGCCTTCCAGCTGTTGAACAACTACCAGTCCCATAAGGTAACAGCACTTCCCTGCTGCAAGTTGACAATGCTAAGCCACAGCCTTTCAATCAGCAGTGTTCTCACAAGCCTACGGTGAGTACTCCTTCAGCTGCCCATCATATCTACACATGCCTCCCACACATCTGATAGGCCAACATAAGGGGTGGGCACAGCAGGGGCTGCTTATTGCAAAGCAGTGGCTTAGGGTGGTCAGCCTGGAACAGGAAGTGTTGCAACGTTTCTTACCTGGAGGTCCTGCCAGTAGCAATATATACACAGACAGACAATTTGATTAGACTACAGTCATGATGCCAAACAAACATCCTGAATAATAGATTGGATTTTTTTGCAGACTTTAAAGTCAACCGGTGAAGACAAAAAACAAACAAAAACGGGGACCTGTTATTAAAGGGGCGGACTCCAGGGCTGTCCTCTTTATCCCAACATCATCATCAGCCAGTGTCACCGACCTATAACAAGCATGCAACAATGAACTCGGGGGTCCAATCTGGCATGCTTTTTCTAGTTCAGGCAGGATCAGCATGACAGCCCAGGAACCTGCACCTTTGAAAACAAGCCAGTGCTGGCAGTTATCCTATATCCCTTTCCTCACCGGTTATCTTTAACATAACAGAGTTTGATCCTTCTCAAACTCTCGGGGACCTGTGTCAGCTTTAGGCACTAAGAAAACTAGAACCAAATCATTTGGTTGAACATGTGTGATTGAAATGGGCATTCTACAGAGTCTGCTCATTTTATATACCCTGTAACCACATCATAGTTAAATAGTAGCCTTTGATTATCGGTAAAATAATCGGCATTTGGCATGTCAAGCATGGTCATCGTGGGACTATTGAACGGCGAGCAGATAATGCTCACCTGGAACACCGAAAAGCTACAACAGAAAATTAAAACTCTCTAGAAAGCTCAATTTGATAAACTTTCCCAAACTATGATAATGACTATGAAATGTTGCCTGTTCCATTGGTCAATACAGGCCTCAACATACCCAACTTGGCATCTGAACCAAGCCCTAGATCATCCTGCTGTGGAAATAAGTGCTTTCTTACTGTTACTAGATCATAGAGGTACCTCATGGGTGGGGTCTGAGATGTCATAGACATTCCCCTCGTCTCTGGTACCTCAGCTGCAGCCACGTTTGACGAGCTAGTAGGAACAAACGGTTACAAGCACACACTGTTCAGGCGTTAGGGGAAATGGGGAGCCACAAACTGCAGCAACTGAACCTCCGGCTCCCGAGCTGCACGCAGAGAGCCGGAGGGACGGCAGCGGGTTAAGTACACCGTGTCACATGTACAACATAGCTTGATTAAAAGAAAAAAAAAGGAAGAAAGGAAGAAAAAAAAAAAAGAAGTAACAAAAACAAGAAACAAAGATAAGAAACAAAGATAACGAGGAGAAGGTAACAGATCTCTAAAGTTCTTAAATTCACTAAAAACTGTGAAACTGGCGCTCTGCTCCGGGGATAAAGTTTGAATATCAAACAGAGGATTCTTCTGAAGCCAAATTGTCTTGTCGGATTTATATATATTTATATAGATTTTGTTTTTCTTTGCAAGTTTTTCACCCGCCGCTGCTCTTTTTATCTGTGGAGGGGCCGCGGTCTGGAGGAAGGGCAGGGCGGAGAGGAAGGGGGTCCCTCTGTGTCTTTGGCAGTTCGGGAGCTGCAGGAAGATCGGCGCGAGGGGCGTGGCCCTCCCCAGTCTGAAGGTTCGCTGGTTCCCGCAATTTCTGGTTTTGGGTTGTAGGAAAGGGGAAAGTGTCGCTTCTCCCAGGGATGTACAATCTGAAAAAGATGAAGGGAAGAGGAAAAATGAAGCTTCATTGGTTTACTTAAAGCCAAAACACCAACACCTACTCCACATTCTTCCCGATATATAAAATGCCCTCCTTACCATCTTGTCTTAAATTGTATTGCGATTATAAGGTCTTCCTCATATTGTAAAGCGCTGAGCAAACTGTTGGCGCCATATAAATCCTGTATAATAATAACATCTGCATGCTACATTTCCTTATTGAAACTCCAAAGACGTGCTGGAATCTTGATTGGCTTCTGTATAAATTGTCCCTTGTGTGTATGCATGTGAGATGGGGACCTTAGAGTGTAAGCTCCTTGAGGACAGGGACTGATGTGAATATGCTCTACATATTTTATGCGCTGCTTAAAATTGTCGGCGCTCTAAAAATACCTGTAATAATAAAAAAAGATCTCCGGCCAAATAAAAAAAACTGTGGGAGCCCCACTGCAAAGGGTTAAGTGCTCATTTTGGTCTAGGGGCTTAGAAAGTCACAGATTTACTTACCTGATCCTGGCTGCCAGACCGGTCCACACAGCTTCTCCCCTTTGCGTCAACGGTCTAAGGACTGCTGACTTCATCACTTCTTATGCAGGACCGGCATTCGATGTGAATAGGCCGAGGAACATTTCACAGCCAGAGCAGAATAGGAGAGGGGTGAGCATTGACCACCACTGGAGCCGGGATCAGGTAATAAAACAGCTTTATATGAGCCCCCCTGGAAGCAAAATCAGCACTTGGGTAGCCCCAGTGCAAGGGTACGTTTCTTATTTGCCCGGAGTCCTTCAATTATTTTTGCACGTTCTCAAGCTTGTTCATTTTGCTTTGCGTTTCCGAACCAGTAACTGCATCAAGCAGGAAAATGCAGCTCAGTGCACAAGGAATTGGTGACCGTGGGAAGCAAAGCTAGTACAAGCAGGTGGGCTGAGCCAAGGACCCAGGAGCAGGGGTGTCAAGGATGAGCGTGGGGGGAGATCACAGCAGGAGGACGGAGATTGGATCTCATTAGGAGAGATGTTAAATATATAAACAATATAAACCGCTAATGAACTATTCAACCATCATCCAGCCCAAGAAATACTGGCTCCAGGTAGTACCGCAATCAACAAATATTTTATGTAAAGTGATATTCTAACACCTTCGCACACTTCAGTTTTAAAACTCACTTCGACCTGCCTGGTTAATTTCACAATCCCTCCAAGGAGGTCAATGGAAGCCCCAAACTCCATCTTTAAAAAATAAATAAGAAAATTACACTTTATCAAATAAAACTTGATGGCCAAAGCCAGGACACGTTTACAAAGCTGCCAGTAGATGGCGCTGTAAACTACGCTGCCACTACCACCGGGGAACGCTGCACCCTGTACTACACTGCGCTTATGAATTGCTTTACACAATCGGCTACTCCAGGTTCTAAAAGATATTCCCTGATCAGGAAGTCTAAAATTGGCACTTAGATATTCAATGAGATTTACAAATCATAATTCCCCTGAATAGCATTAAATGGATCCACCCAGACCTGCACAATCCACTTTGCCCTTCAAAAGGGTTCTTAACCCAAAGAACAAATATGTAATCTATAGCAGCTTACTAGTCCTTAGATGTGGTGGCTGCATTAGTTTTCTCAGGCGGTTCCCCTTTTATTTTTTAACCAGGTGACCCTGCCAGTAACACTTCCTGTCCTCGGGTGACAACGTTCAATGACTGTACTATATACGAGAAGCAGCTAACGATTATTTTTTCTATTAATCGATTAGTTGCATTTAAAAAAGACAAATCTCTCGTCAACCAACTAATCGATCATCAGAATAGTTGACAACTACTCTCATAAATTGACTATTATCGATTAGTTGGTTGCAGCCCTAGAAGCAGTGTGGTCTCCCTAGAACTGACAGGCTGCAAGGACTAAGGAAACCCCTTACGCTCATTTCCATCGGATAAGTGAGTGTGTTGTGTAGTCCACAGCAGTGAAGATTTCTTGAGATTTAAATGCAGCATTTTTAGCTTACTACAGGAAGTTGTCAGCTCCACAGATATTGTTTACACTTATCGAACTGATATAACAAAACCCTTGGTCAGAGTTTATGGGACCTATAATTCACCTGCAGAGTGAGATTCACTGATCTTGCAAAATAAACAGAAATGACAGCTACCAATAGCATCACTTACCGTCTCTTCATAACCCGAGTCTGACACGGAGCTCTGTGTCTCCTCAGAGATCAGACGTGGAGTGTCCCTTGAAGTGGGTGTGGGAGGAGCAGACAAGACGTCGGGGCTGAGCGGAGAGAAGTCAGGCATAGCCTGCCAGCTACTGGTGTCAGGAGATGGAGGCTGCAGTATGAGAGCCTGCGTGCCTATTGAAAGCTGAGAGGTCATAGAGCCTTCAGATGTCCGATGAGTCCTGGAAGACAGATGGAAGACTGTTATATCTAAATTCGGTCCTCTCCATAAGCACCAGTAAGGAGCAGAGTACTTCCTGCACATGCAACAAGGGTGGCATCACATTACCTGCTGCCTCGACGTTGAGGTGGGAGGCTGCTGCTGGCCCACCTCGCTCGCTCCGACTCTTCACACTTCAAATGCAAAGCCGCAAAGGCTGAATCTGAGAGATCCTCCAACTTGGAGATGAAACAAAACAGATACAACACATATTAAAGAACACGGGTCTCCTTTGATAGGGGTTCAGTAACATCAAACCAGATGCATGAAGGGATACTCCGACCAAAACCGGATTAACCAACTCATGACCACAGGTCACTGAAGACAAGATGCCCGCAGCAAATGTATTCAATTGACATGACAGTAACACCATGGCCAAGTTGACTGCCTAAATCATGTTTATATTGATTATGGCTTCAATCGATCAATGCCCTGCTCAAGTTTTATTAAAAGCTGACAAATCGAATGTTAGCAAATCATTTCTGTCTGCCCCTTGGTCAACTGTAGATCCAGAACTGCTGGTTCACAGCCTATTATATAGCCATTTAGCACAAACTGCAATTTGGAGAAGGCTTCTTCTGTGCCTCGTGCTGGTGTGGTGAAGAGCTTATTGGTTCCTTTATTGATTTATATATAAACACACTGTATTGCCCTGTGAACAGCTGCAACCAGTGGATTAGTTGGTGAACAAACCTCATGTGACCATTGATCATCATTATTATTAGGGATGAACCAATACCGTTTTTTTCTGTATTAAATACCAATATTTTGCTTTTGGTACTCACTGATACAAAGTACCGATACAGTTGCTCTGATGTTAAAGGGGGTTCCTAATGTTTAGGGGGGAACCTCGTGTATTTGTGTTTTTGCATGCCCCTGGCCCCCTAAAATCTGAGATAGGAGTCTGGTATGGATTTGGAAAGAACCACATGTCTTTTTACAGGTTTACATTTACTTTTATTTTGTCATATTTTAGAGTGCCTCAAGATGTTGCATACTTTTTTAAATGCTGGCATGACTGAAAAAAGGTTGATAAACGCTGGCATAGACCATCTTGGCCGCTAGGTGCTCCTAACCACAAACCCATTTGTTTTCTTTTTGAACTCAAAAGACAATACTGACCATCTACCTCAGCTAATGAATAATAATTGTATCCAACTTCACTCACCTCTTCTATGTCCGCATCTGAATTTGGAGTCAGAGGAGTGATTTTAACAACACGCCAGCTGCAAGAGAAGAAAAAAGAAAGGCCTGAGAATCCATGACCTGGGCTGACGTTACACTGGAGACTAGAGCCCCCTTGTATTTAGCGACGTTTGCCTGAACACAGTGCAGTGTATAAGCACATATGCAGGTTGCCCAAACATGACCCGAGTGTGGTAAAGATTTGGAAAGGCTAGACATGCGCATGGGGCTGGATAGAGGTTATAATGAGCATCACAGGGGCTTGGCCCTGCACATAGATGTTCTATCCTGCAGCATATTCTATTCACATTCACAAGACTGCAGAAGGTAACCATTGGGCCACCAAAGCTCCTATACCAGTCGTGGCTGTGGCAAGTACCCACAATGACAAGTACCCACACCAATTTTCAACCCCCTGCAGGTTAGTCAACAGATACCTCCCCTTCCTAGAACAGGGATTTAAAGGAGGAGACCTGGGCTGGAACAGGCATCCCCATTGGAAGATTTCCCTTTTTCATGTGCTTGTGACAACCCAAAATTTGGGATTTTCCCATCACTTTGCCTCAGTGACAATGATCACCGGAATAAATGGAGAGAGCTGATCTTCCCAACAGGACAGACACAAATACCCAACAAGTGTATAACAGATGCTGCACGTCACTTTTAAATTGCGTCTGATCGCAGTGGAGAACCCCTGTGCTGCTATTCCTCTGCAGGGCAGGCTACTATTTCCCGATTTGAGGCAACCCAAAGCAGCACAGGCAGAGCTTATGGGGAGTTGGAGATCTCACCCTTCACATGAACTGATTCCTTGGCACATGCCATAAAAAGAGCAACAACTACTTCCCCAACACTGCAAGTGCCCCTTAATAAGCCCCCAGCATGCAGGATGATACACATGTGTGACTTTACCTGGGAGTGAGGATCTCCTTGTACTGCAGCCTTTCCACCCTGGTGGTGGCTGCTACCGACATAGGTATCACAATATTGTCAATGTCATAAGACGTCTCCATCCGCCTCTTCCTGGCGGCCTGTCATGGAACAGAAAACAAAAACTTAACTCTTCAACAGGATGTGTGCAAATAAGAAAATTCATTTGTGATGACATTAGGACAAGGTCTCAGCTAGCTGAATTACCCAGCTTGCTGTATAGGACTAGCAGGGGGGAGTCAAAGCTTCACCCTCACCATAACAAAGCTGATCACTGGAGTGTCTCTCTAAAACCTTATATAGATGGAGACAACCTTCAAAACACAAGTATTTCTGCTTGATGGGAGAACCTACTAAAAACTTCTAAATTCGGACACTTTTTTTCCCAAGCTCACCAGAAGGCAAAACTGCAATAGAAAATTAAAACCAAGCCAGTCCGCGGTGGTGTGTTTAAGGCATATGGGTTAAGTGACCCATTAATGTGTGTTGTGTTGCGGCAGCCCATATCTATATTAACACCAAGCCAGTCCATTGCGGTTTAATGTACACAGGTTCATTCTCCCATTAACATGTGTTGTATTAAGGTGGCCTGTTCATTTTCACTCCAGAAAAGGCTGAAAATGCCTTACATTGCCTACCCCCCTCCTCGCCAGTAGGTTATTGAACAGGGTCGTAATGCCAATGAGCCCAATTGAGGCAGCTGTCTTATGTGCCACTCATGGAGATACAGTGGGGGACATTTAGTCCACAGTGCAGCTCAGTAATGCCAAGCATGACGACGCCACACCACCAGTGCATGCTGGAAAGGTTTTGCAGTAGCAAGCCAAGATCTCCAAAGGGTTGAAGTATGTCCTTCATGTAGACAAAGACAATAGAGAACAAGCTATGCGGGTGGACAGTATGCGATGGATATGCGTGGTTGGTGCAAACACCTTTATATCGCAGAGTTTGTCCAATGTAAGGAACACCCACCCACGTAATACAGAATAGATTTAAAAGAAATCTTTACATTTTAACTTAGTCATTTTAAAACTCTGCAATATAAAAAGGATTCATTATTATTTAACAGTCATCCACCCAAAAGGCATTTCAGCAAGATGCCTAGACCTCAACAACGCACTGGTTTCCCGAGTCCTCATAGGATAAAAAGCCAGTGGGTGATCAACTGAGGTTGAGTCTGCCTAGATCTGATAACTCAGCACAATTACCAGATGTATTTTACCTTCATTCACAAGAAGAAAAGAGGGGAAAGACAGATTTACAGAGCAGCTCAGGTAGGTAATCTCATAGCACGCACACACAAGCAGACAACTATGATTTCTGTTTGTGAAAGCAATCCATCTCCGTACCGCAGCTGCAGCGCTGATTGATGAATCAGATGATGTGGAGAGCTGGCGTGACAGAGGGGTGTGAGATAATGCCCCTTCTCTATCTGCTGCAGGACTGGGCCCTGCTGGTTCCATCTCGTGTCGTCCTGGGACAATGAGGGAAGAAGAAAAAAAAGGTTAGTCCATAATTTAATCACAGAAGGGTCACTTAGAAAGCACAGCAGCGGCCTGGTCAATGTGAGGATTGTTGCCTTACCATCTCTTTCTATAGGGCTGAAATAGCGCTTCTTCTGATGGGGTATAGGGAGGCTGAGCGAGCGCTCAGTTTTCAGAGCTTGTGATCTCTCACACTTTAAGGTACGTAGCAGGGGGTCCAAGTGCTGCTTGGAAGAGAGCTCAGGAAAAGGCCTGTGAAGCGTTAGTTCTGCAAAAGAAGATCAAGAGTCAGAAAACAAAACAACCCAACACAATCTAGCAGGTTACTGCCATCATGACCTGCTCAGTTTTTAAAGCAGAACTAATGCTTCTTTATTTTTTTAACGCAAGTTAAACATAGTGCATGCAAATCATACTTGGGGCTTGCTCAATAGGCTTCCCGGCTGCTGTGCAGGCACAGAGCAGGACCTAAGACTCTCTATGACCTCTTGGTTTGATCTCTGCTAGCTGCACAGCTCAGACCACAATTCTTATTCCACACCTCTCTCTTCGTATGACATTATGCTCCTACATGTGTGTAAGTTTTACTAGTAGCTGATAAAAGAGCAGAAGAGAAAGAAAACTATGGTAATGATAGAATCTTCACTATTACACGCCCAGTTGCTGGCAAAGCAAGAAATTACTTCCAGCAGATAACTTCCAATGATGGAATGGATAGGTCGCTTCCCTCTGAAGGTAACACTCCCTTCATCACCTCCAACTAGTACAGTTGGCAATGTAAAGCAAAAGGAAACAGATCTGCTTTACATCCCAAACATGACCATCTGAAAAATCTTGCGTCATTCAAAGATTTCTTGTTTGAAGGACTCTGATCTACTGTGGTCACCTATGAAGAGGTTAATTCCCTCATCTCCCATACAAATACAGGTAATATACTAGTACAGCTGAGGAAATGCATATGCAGAAGAGTATGAGACACATGAAAGCAATGGGGGGGGAGGGAGAGAGAGAGAGAGAGAGAGAGAGAGAGAGAGAGAGAGAGAGAGAGATATACAGTCATATTACTAAGCACTAGTAATCCACAAGATCCAGTCAGATTTCAATGGTCACCCTAACAAGCAGGTTTTTTTTATATTGGACACCACACACCATTGTTCTGGAAGCCAGAAGATAACTGGGCTTTTTTGTTTTCTATCCTACTCACTATGAGTATGTAAAACTCCAGGCGTGCGGTCTGTGCGGTGGATTTCGGTGGTGGTGGAACCTGGATTTGAAGGACGCTGCTTTACTTTCCTGCTGGATTTGAATCTGTCCATCTTGTTGTGGGAACGGAGGAGAGCATGGAGACGCAGACCAGCCGGAACATCTAGGAGAGACATACAAGATAAAAGAGCTACCTGGGAAGGATCCTCAACCCTTTATACTGGTACTGCATGTGGATCCCCGGAATGTATATGTGGATATCGAAGAATTACAACTATTCGTACGCTGCCTGGCAAGATTATCATTAGTGAACGACTGCAATACATCCCAGAAGCTATTTGACTGGAATTGTATGGACAGCATGCATATAACAACACTGCATATAAGACACTTGCTTCTATGTATGGAAACAAGTGCAGGACACTGCAATACAGGTTTTATGAGAGCACAAAACAATAAGGCTTGCCCTTTTTTCCAGTGCAACCCCAACCCTAGACGAGGTAATTTGCCTCGTTACAGAAATGGGCTTAGATCACACCACCTTGTGGCGGTGGTTTGTGCGGAAAAAAAAAAAAAAAGTACTGTATGTAGTAGTACTTCTCAGTGCAACACGCTGAGACACGGTATAACCGCATTGTGCCGCACTGTCCCTATAGAACCTAATGAAATGTCACTTGTGGAATTTCAATAAAGCTCTAACAAAAAGGAAAAAAACCACAACAGTGCAATGCTCCAGGATCTGCACATGGAAATGCATCCAGCCTTGTAGCACTGCTGGTGTGAATGCAGCCTAATAGTAATGATGTTTCCAAGGATTCTGTATCTCTGTACTGTATATGAGCACACTCTGGGTATTATCGCTATTGGGGTTATACGGGGTTTTTTTTACCTGTAGAGGTAATCTACCTTTATTGTTATACACCGTTCTTAACCCCTTCGTGACTGACGACGTACAGTGTACGTCGCCAGCATCGGGGCTGTTTAAACAAAAGAAGTAATAACCCCCCTAATGTGCATTATACAGAACATTTTTAATTCTTCCAGATGGAGCATCACACAAGATCAAAGAGGAGTAGCTTTTACTGTACACAACTGAGTGAAAAAAGTGTGTACGGCCTGCCGGTCTCCTGTCACAGAAGGTAAATACCAGTTTCAATAGTCTCCGATGGAAGCAGCTGCTCAGATCAAAGGCTGCACATTAGCTAGCTCCAGGTCAATAAAGCTGATTCAGTGCAAGTGAAGCGACTGCCTTACAACCAACATGTGGTCTGTAAGTCAAGCGATGTCAGTTTCAACCACAGGTCACTTAGGTGACAAGTTTCCATTTATGCGCATCAAATGAGCATCAGACAAAAAAGGGAGTAAAGAAGTTCAGTGTAACTCACCAGCTGGGAAGGAAAGAACCGGGTGAATGGCAGGATCCAACAGCGTCAAACGTTCAGACAATGGATCGCTATATGGGAACTGGGTAGAGAGCCCCGGGAAGGAGGCACACATTACACATGATGAGGAGACCTCACAGGGCCGAGGGACACTGCTCTGGACCTGTGTGTGAAGGGACATAAAAGAACACGTCATACTGGAACCAAAAGGAAAGGAGAACACATGACCAAATGGAACCAAAAAGGAAATTGGTAGCCTATCTGGACCCTTCACTTACAGGCAAGAGGCTTCCTCCTGCTAAATAATTAATTGTCCTTCTCAGGCTTTCATCAAACTTCAATGCGTCTACCATGTAGGGCTGCAACAACTAATCGATTATAAATCTATAATGAGAATCATTGGCAACAATTATCAGCAATTAGTTGCTTTTTGATTAGTTGCCACCGCTCTGCTCCTCCGTACTCCTCCCCGCTGGTGCTGGCTGCAGCAGTCTGTGTCTGCTTCAACCCTCGCCTGTGTCGGCAGAGGCAGCGGGGATACAGACCACTACAGCTGCCACCAGTGGGAAGGAGAGACCGCTGTGACTGCATTCCCCCGCTGCCCCCCCGTACCTCTGCTGCTGTCCTGGTCCCTTCTATGCAGGTGGTGTGTTGCCATTCATTTCAATGGATCCGAAATGCACCTTCCGTCCGCAGTGTGATCACCCGCACTGGAACGCGCTGTACTGCAATGCCCTGTGATCCAGTGCCGTGCAATTCCAAAAAATGTGCATACTGTTTTATTCTGAAGTAAACTTTATGTCTGTAACGCTGCATTTGTGGATTTTATTTTAAATAAATTACTATATTTTTTTTTATTTCATTCGATTAATTGAAGTTAATAATCGGCTAACTAATCGATTATGAAAATAATCGTTAACTGCAGCCCTACTACCATGCAAGTGGAAAGCAACGTGAACCCGCTGGCTGTCCCTTCTACTGCCTTTATGACAGGTGACCAAGCACAACAGCAGGTACTACAAGAGCCAGAATAATTGGTCTTTTCCAGTTTTATTTGCAATTCCCACTTTATTATTTCATTCAGCTACATCGTCTGATACTAAAAAAAACATTTGCCGTCACGGAGACAAGTAGAGATGGCACCTTTCCAAGTCTTTGTTCAGAAAAAGAAATAAATTGTACAAAAGTGCATTTAGATCAGATTAGGAATGACCAGGATTTACTACGTGACATCGCGAAGTTCGCAACCAAGGTATGCGAGACCCAACTTACAACACTACCAGATCTGAGGACTCTTTACAACAACATGGACCACACAATGTCTTCCAGGTGGGATTACATGGTATACACAATCATAAACACGAAACATTACTCAAAACATGGAGGGATATTCTGCAGTTGCAAGCTTAATATCCCTGGGAGTGGAGCTCGATTTTACAACATAACTCTAAAAACAAGCAGCAAGGCATGGCTTGGACAAAGAACAGCCATAAGCCCTGGAAAAATATTGCTTTGGGTTTTGAAAACTGGGTGTGCCGTTTAAAAATGCATTTTGCTAGATAGCAATATGGTGGTAACACTTTGAACAATCCTAGATTTGGGTAAAAGGTCACCGGAAAAAGTTGCTCGCTCACTAGCAGCCGGCTGTACAGATTAGTCCAACTAAACAGGGGAGTACAGAAAGCAAAGAGCCAACATATACACTTAAAGGACCAATAAAAATATCTGCCAATTAGGCGATACCCAAAAGAGAGCCAGACTATTACAGTGAACCTGTGCTTTGCCCATCACTGCTCACCACAATTCATTTTGCCTTCTCTCCTCCAACGCTCCATTTGGCTGCTGGGAGTGAAAGACTAGCCATGTGTAAGTTGTGGCTTAGAGCTTACACAGGGCTGGGGACTCTCCCACCACCCACATGTGACAGAACCGAGGGCCAGAGAAGTCAATCATCAAGCATCAGTACCGTCACATGGGCCACATGCTCACCCTACCCAGAAGTACCCAGTATTTCACCCTCACAGTAATACTGTACACTACACACAAAGTGGGGAATCCAATTCTGTGCCAATACTATGGCACAGCTTCTTGGTGCCAACTCTAAATGTATTTGAAAACAGGCAGGTGAGCATTTTGGGTGCCCAGTACACATACACTTTTCCTAAAACCATACCCGAGATACTTTGCATCTTGGACAGTATGTATAACTGGGATTCTCATCTGGAAAACCTGATGGCATTTTTTTGAATCCCCAGTACCATTCATTCCAATGGAAGATGGCATAGCTGAAAACTGCACCAATAATGCAACAAAAGCACCACGCTATACCCCGTAGGCATGAACTGCTCCACTAACGCTCACAATACGGGCCCTCTTACCTTGCGATGGAGGGGAAGGATCCGGTCAGGCCTCACCACCCTCCTCCTCTTGCAGTGGAGGACAGGCCTTGTTCTTGCACACACACAGCTGCTGTCCGGTACAGTAGCTGTAGACTTGGAGGACGTCTGCTCTTCAGCGTCGGAGCTAGAACGCTTGGGGAGCCTGTTGAAGACCAGATAGGACATTTTAGTGCAACAAAGACAGAAGACGTAAGCCGTGAAATAAGGACCAACTTTAGGACAGGTCACCAGAGTGAGAAATAATGATCACCACAATTGCCATTTCAGTATGGCATGGTTACTGACAAGTTGGAGCCCATCCAGGCTCCGTATAGCTTAAACAAGGTCACATCATCCTGACAAATCTTTACAAATTCAGAACGCATGAAAGACGACAGACCATTGCTAGGCATTGTAGGACTGGGTAGGCACAATAACAGCAGTGTCTAGATCTCACCACTGGGGTGCCACAGATGAAAGGACCCAACGGTGATTCAACCCGACGCTTCTGGACTAAAACTATCAACCTGGTGCTGAAACTGTTCTTCAAAATGACAACTGTAAAAATGTGGGATTTCAGCACACTAGCCCACAAGGTTTTACTTAGTGTGAATAAGCCCCAGCATAGTTTTATTACCGGTTGATCCAGTCAGTAGATCTGTTTCTTGCAAACTGTAAAAGGCCCAGCAGTGCAGTAAAAGAGGCCGTTACATTTACAGCAAGTCTCTCCCTCAGCTGCTAACTGGCCAGAGCAACTGACAATTAACCAATGAGGGGCACAGACTACAGCAGATTGGCTGAAAGCACAGGAAGACCACCATCCTGCAGAACCGGTAGCTGGTGGTCACCCTATTAAAAAGAAAAGCCCAGAGAGAAAAAAAAAAAATCGCAGAAACTGGCAGGATCAACGGCTTTATATGAAACAATCCCACCAATATAAAAAAATACCTTGGACAACTATATGTAGGCTTTTGTTCATATGGGCGTCACCTTGTATAAGAGCAGTGTGTACAGCAAGGCATTTGCCTACCATTCAGTTCCAATTTGGGAATATTAAACACCGATCTTAATGGCATTGTTGACGGACACTTTAAACAAGCTGCTAGCGGTCTTTAATACGCTTCAGAACTACTTGAACCTGGCTGAAAAGTCTGATTAAGACTGCTAGCAGCTTGTTTAAAGTCTGAGTCAGCAATTCCTTTAAGATCTGGCTTCAACATTCCTAAACTGGGACCAGAGAGTTTTTTTAAAGGCTTCAACAAAACTTGCAGAAAGCTTCACAAATGCTTTGCAGAAGTTGGCTAAAAGCATCACATAAGCCTGCTGTACACACTGCTCTCATACAAGCTGAGACCTGGGTGAGCAAGGCCTTACAAAGCAGAGGGGGCAATTTACACAACTTTAGGATTTGGATTCACAAAGACTAACAGTGAGGTTCAATGAGTTGTCTGCTAAGGAGAGACACGTAGACACCAGGCTGGTGGAGAACTCAAGTTTTGAGGGAGGGTTATAACCCCGGTCAGCTTTTTGCCATCTGATGAAGGGACCCTGTGTGGCTCCCCAAACATTGTTATAGTGATATCACAAACAAGCCTCAATAAAGAGATATTGAGCCAGAGTTGTTGTGCCAGGGACTTATCCTCTCTTTGATATATGCATGGTACCGTCTGTGTGTCACTGCAACACCCACAGAAATTGCAGGGACTTGTCGGTCAATAGTGCGATGGGAAATCTAGAAACATGGGAAAGATCTCCCTTTACTTCTTGTCCCACAGCCAGGACAGGAAGTGAGCAAATCTCTCCAAAGAGAGGGATCTCCCCCACGCTTGTCAGTGGGGTCACCAGAACTAGTTGGAGCATTTCACATCTATTCCTTCTGTGATGACAAACCAACATTTGGATTTCCTTTCACTTTCAATGAGAACAGTCCCCCATACAAATAGAGAGGGGCGAGTCTCCTTAATGGGGACACAGACAGAAATAAAAACCTGACAGACTTTCTAATCCCTGCAGTCAAGCCATTAAGGATTTGACCCTTAAGAGGTTTTTCTTTGGTGAGCCGTGTCACTAATGCTCCTTAAAAATTACAGATGGTGTCTAACTACAGGTGCCCTCTAGTTGTGGAGCAGCACAATGGTATAGTGATTAGCACTTCTGCCTTGCAGCACCGAAGGTCCCTGGTTTAAATCTTGGTCAGGACACTAGCTGCAAGGAGTCTGCATGTTCCCTGTATGTATGCATGTAAGATAGGGACCTTAGATTGTAAGCTCAATGAGGGCAGGGACTGATGTGAATGGGCACTGCATAAATTTGTCAGCACTATATAAATACCTTAAATAAATTGTTGTCAATGAAGCTGGCTCCTGAAAATATCCTGCTGGCTCCCCAACTCCA